TAATAAAATAAAATTTAAAAAAATTTTTTTTAAAGAAGTTGTATTGACAGACCAAAGGCAGGCAGTTTGAATCCACCAGCTGCTTTATAAAAGAAAGATGGAAAATCTCCTCCCATGCAATTTATAGCTTCTGAAAAACTGCTAGAGAGTGGACTATGAAGTGGTTTGACTCAATGGTACATACCAACATTTACAACAACAATTGATACTGTTGATAGCACACCTTCTGTTTGTTCTGTTTTGTTATTGTTTGGTTTTAGCTTTAACAGACAGAAATATATGGTTTTGGTTTAGAAGACTAGAAGTCCAGATTTTCTTATGTGGTATAATAGCTATTTACCCCATCTGTACTTGCTTGCAGCTTGTTTAATCTGCTTTTTCTTTGTGGGATTTGAGTGAAAGCATTTTGCTTTATAACATTACTCTCAATGCCCACTTTATCCCTATAATTCTCATGTTCAATAAACCTAGCCTACTACTTTCTATCCTCAGGGTTTTATCTTTATACAAATGTGATGCTTCTGATTTTTATATTGTTGGTTCTTCTAAGAATCCTTAGTTAATTTAATAAAACATTTGACGAAGCTAAGATTACAGAGAGATAAACACAAAAGAAATTGGCTTGATTTAAATACGTATTATTCTGAGATTTTTTCCTCGTTTTCCTCCCCCTCCTTAAGACTTTATTTAGAATGTCAATTATTTAGGAAAACTACATTTGAAACAACCGTTTTACAGCAGAAAAAAGAAAAACTATACCACCTGTGGCACCAAATACTATGAGTGATGTCGTTTTTCCATTAATTTCCCAACACTTGCATGCGTTTTAGTCTTACCTCGAGCGATTCCTTACTTGAATTCTGACAAATGGATTCTATCTGGTAAATCACTTTGCTTAAGCTTCTGATTTGTTGGGTCAGGTGAATCTCATTGTTCCTTAGTTTTTTCAAGTTTTCTCTTTCTTCCTGGTCCAGTAGCTGGAGTTGTAGTTGTTCCTCTTCCTTCAGAAACTGATACATTTTCATATATTCTGACACAACAACCTGCTTACAGTTCTTTGTTTCTTCCTGTCATCAAACTCACCCCCACGTGCACACACATGCACAGGATATAAGAAAGTTAGTAAAGGAATATTTCTATTTTTTTCCAAAGCTTTAAAGTTAATAAAGGCATTTCTTGAGATATATTGAATATATCTATTTTTTCTGTTGATTATGTGTGCAGACATTTTTATATTTTAGAACATATGTTCTATAAATAGAGTAGTAATCATGATCAAAGATTAAATTCCTAAAGAAGCTGTTACTCTTGTGACAGAAACCAAAATAAACAGAAATGTGATAAGAGGTAACTGGTACTATGATAAATAAAGCAAGATAAGGAGAAAAAGAAAGAATATGTGTTAATTTAGACTTTTTTTTAAATTAAATGTAGCATTAAACTGTTTACTACAAATATGATCAGAAATATTTCCATTTAAGAACTCAGTCAGTTGAGAGAATTAGATCTACACATACATTATTTAAAATATAGACATCTCAAATACAAATCTATAATCAACTTCTAGCACTTTTTCATATATACTAACTCAAATTATTTTATCCTTACTTTTATATATCTTTGTTTTATTTCACTCTCTCTTTTCCTTCCAAAACACTTGAGGTGTTAATGTTTTATTTATTTGAATTCAATATGTCTATAGCGTAGATTATTAAGTAATTAGTTATTTTGTTTTCCTATATATGAAAGCAGTACATAAGTACACATTGAAGGAAAAAAAAATAATCTTTCTAGCAGGGGTTGGGGGAAAGCATTTGAGACCAAATGGAAAAGGGAAGATTCCTAGCCCAAAGCAAAGAAACTGCACAATTTAGATTGTGAGAAAGGGGGAAGGGGGAAGAAATATGCTATTTCATGGTGTCTCTTTAATTCCACTTTTAAAAGATCCAAAAGTTAGATACTGACCTTACACAATCTCTCTCTCTCTTTCTCATGTGTTAAAATAGACTGAACTTCCTTTTTCCTTTTGTGCAACACATTTAGAATTTCTTGGAGTTTCTCCTGCAATAGAAAAAAAAATCCTCTGTAACTCGTGGAGTTAGTTCAGCATCAGGTGGAGAAGGGTATTGAAGACCAATAACAACTAGATGACTGGGACCATACAAGTTTTGGGACTTGTGCCTGGTAGTCAGCACTTATGACTGACTGTCCCAAGACAGAAAACAATAAGGGTTGTCAGAGGCAACTGAGACAAGTGAGGAAATCTGTTCTCTCTTCTGAGGTATATATTGTGCAGCCAGTCTTACTTTGTGGTTCTCCTCAGCCTCATTTGAGAGATGTCCTTTGTTTATTCCATGACTTTGGGTTGAGAAAGAGTTTAAACTCTGCTCGTCCTCCGAGTACACTTTGGAGGCTGCCAGCATTCTCATATAGCTACTTTGCTCGTCCTCATTCTGTATCACCTGGGATCTGAGTTGCTTCCCAATGCCAGCCAGCCTCCCCAAACGCTCATTGGGCTGGAAATGAGGAACCTCCAAAGTCCTCCAGCACTCGGGACATGATAAAGGTGTGTTATGTTCTTCCCAGTTCTTGAGAAGACACACCAGACAAAAACTATGCCCACACTCAGTGGTCACTGGGCTAGTGAAATAGTCCAAGCAGATGAAACAAGTCAGTTCTTCTCTGAGATTTTCCATCAAAACTGCTGTAGACATTTTGTCAAGGAGAGACATAAGGTCAAGGTCACACCTCTCTTCTGAGATTAGAAAAGTCCTTCTTGAGATTCTATTGTTTTGAGTATCGAGTGATCAATTGTTATGATGTTATTACAAGAAACTCTTTTTCTCCTCTGTGCCTAATTTCAGCAAATGACACATACTCCCCAACACAAAGCCAATTATGACTCATTGTAGAACCCTTGTATATTGAATGGTTCATCATCAACCCAAACTTTTCTTGAACTCCTGGTCTATGTACCGGATACTGAAGCTACTAACTCCTAGCAGAGTTGCCATTTTAAGAGGTGATTATATAAACAGCATCTTGATCTCATGTAATCACCTTGTTTCTTGACTGAAAATTTACATCATTTAAGGCAAACCAGTATAGAGATTTGGATGATGATCAAAGTTGGAATTAGGGTGTAAATATTTTGAAAAATGTGATAAAAACCTAATTGAGACATTAAAGGAAAAAACCAAAGTATATATTTCTCCTCTCCTTAGGACCTTTCTTCTCCTTGACTTTGTGCTCCCTTATCAAGGACTATATTCTTTAATTGCATTGATTCCAGAAAAATAGGATAAATCTCATTGCTGACATACAATCTGACTTTGTACAAGAAATTACTAGAGTTATTTCTTGCTATTTTACTCTGAAGACTATGGCAATTGCCCTTCTACCATCAAAGTCAGTCATATGGAACAACATTCTTATTGTAAGATGGCTCAACACATTATTGTATTATGCAGTAATAGATGGGAACAATAATACTTCAGTACAATTTCCTCACATTTTTTATCCTTTGGAAAATGTCCAAGATAGGTTTTCTCTCCAACTCTATTCTGAAGCAGCTTTTGTTTTACAGTAATTAAATGTGTCGGAGAGGTGGGTTTGTGTGTTTAAGAACTATGGAGGGGGGAAAAATATATAGTGTGGAGATTTTGTACAATGGCCATTGAGATTTGTCCAAATTGTATGAAAGTACTATGTCACTGTTAGGGCCCACCTCTTGTTGCATAATAGAAACACCTTAAAAGCTCTTTCTTTCTCAGTATCTAGTAGTCTCATGTAGAGACAAACACATTAAGGTTATCATGTAATGTTTCTATTTCTACCAGTCTCTAACTTGGTGAACTTTCCTTGACAACCTTCCCATGTACCAAAAAAAATTCTATTCATTTCTTTCTTACTTTCAAGGCTTTAAATGACCAAACATCCTTTTCCATTTTCCCATAACAGAGTGATTTCTTACCTTGCACCTTTAATAAAGTTATTTTCTGGCCTTGAATGCTTATCCCTCCATCTTTACTCCTTATAGTCAAAACTCACCGTTCTGAAGTCATTGTTAGCTGTATTGTAAATGTTTTATTCATTTGTCTAGCATGTAGCATTTACTAGTTACTTGGATAAGAGTTTAAGTATGAGGAACAACCAGAATAAAGACTTATGCTATTTGCATGAGACGTGATATCAGGTAGAGATTATGATACTTCAGATTACTTGTAAGCTATTAATTGGAGCATAGCTTCAAAATATTGTTAGGAAGTCAGTGCTAAGCAAAGTTATTGAAAACAAACACTTATCTAAAATAGCACTAATAACTGTCACCATTGGAAGAAAGAATACACCACTTTCATTTCATATATTACTCATAACCAAAAACCATAAAGGTGTGTTTAACACTGACTAGAATGATTGATTAGAATAAACCTTAGACTAGAATTATGGTACATCACAAAGCCTGTATTCCAGTTTGGAATGAGGAGAGTATCGTCCTTCAGTTTCTAATCCTTTTTGAATTTTTTTTAAACTCAACAGGTTTATCCCACCTCTTCTTTTAAAATAAACCTACAATAAAAGTAAATGAACAAACATTTAGAAAAAAAAAAACAAACAGCAAAGTAAACCCTTTATCTGATAACAACCAAAAAAGTGTGGTAAGGTGCTTAATATCATGTTTTAATTCATTTATAAATAGAAGATTCAATTTGTATTGTTTTTATTTAACAAACAGAGGAATTATATTATCATGAAATTAGTCTTATATCTACTTAGGATCCAACAGATACTTTTTATAGATAAAAAGAAATAAGTTTAAAAGCAAACTATGTTGGTCTCCCAAATACTATTTAACTCAGTTAGACCTAAGAAACTAGATCTCTTGAGTTCTGTTGTAGTTGTTGTTATGTGTCACTGAGTTGCTTGCAACTCAAAACAACATACATTAACCCTACATACTTTAACTCCGAACCATACTTTCCCCTGAGCCAATCTCCTCATTTCCAGCAGAACCAATCTTGTTTTTCCAGTCACTGATTCAATCCATCTCATCCTGGGTCTTCTTCTTCTGCATTGTCCCTCTAGTCTTCCAGGCATAATGTCCTTCTCCAAGGACTGGTCCCTCCTGGCCATATGCCCAAAGTACCTGAGATGGAATCTCAAAATCCTTGCCTCTATGGATCTGGTTTCACCCTTTCCAGGACAGACCTGTTTGTTCTCCTGGTAGTCCACAATATGTTCAACTCTTTACTATCACAACTCAAAGGCATTGATCCTTCTATCATCCTTAGTTATTGTCTTGCTCCAAATGCATAGGAAGTAGTTGGAAAGAACATGGCCTCGATTAGTTGCACTCTAATCTCCTTACAGACATAGTTACTCTTCACTACTCTAGAGAGGTCCCTGACAGCCAATTTATCCAGTGTAATTCGTCTTTTGATTTCCTGACTGCTGGTGCCAAACTGAAGTTATTAACAATCTCAACTTCTTGTCCATCTATCTTGAGTCCTACTCACTCATTTTTATCAGTACATCATATCTGAGCTCGTTTGCTAATTTATGAGTGGATAAATTTTCCAATTATTTTTGAATGATATTAATTATGTTCCAATAATTTTAGAACTAAATCAGTTAGTTGTCATCTGGCCTGACAGGGAAAAGGAACTAAAATCATTTGCCACACTTAACTACTAGAAATCTAGACTTCTGAACATATTGATGACATTTTATGAAACAAAATCAGAGAGGGTTCACTTACCCAAAGCAAATGATACCAACCTCAGGATACTGCTTGGCAGAAAAGTTTTCTGCAATCAATCATGTTGTTGTCATTTTGTGCTGTTGAGTAGTCTGAGACTAATAACAATCCTATGTACAGGAGCTCTGAAGCTTACTTTGTCCTGAGCCAGTCTCACTGACTCTGACACACCTACCCCCATTGCCCCAGTTATTCTATCAATCCGTCTCATCTGGGGTCTTCCTCCCCTGTGCTGTCCCTCCACCTTTTCAAAAGCAGACCTATTTCTTTTCTCGTTGGTCCATGTTATGTTCAAAACTCCTCTCTAGCACCATAACTCAAAGGGACCAATTCTTCTTTTGTCATCTTAAGTCATTGTCCAGCTCTCTGATTTATACAGCAAGTAATTGTGAAGACCATGATGTCATCAAGAACCTATGTTATGTACATGACACAACCTTGCTTACTGAAACTGAGGAGGACCTAAAGTGTTTGCTGCAGAAAGTATATGGATTGAAGCTCAACATCAAGACACAGATTCTCACCACTGGGCCAAATGGCAGCACCATGATTGATGGAGAAGAAATTGAGGTTGTTAACAATTATAGCTTGCTCAGCTCCACAATCAACACTGTTGGCAGCAGAAGTGAGAAATCCAAAGAAGAATTGCATTGGGAAAAATTTGCTGTCAGAGGCTTCTCCAGAATACTGAGAAGAAACAATGTCAGTCTAGAGACTAAGGTACATCTGTTTGATGCCTTTAAGGTGTGGTGCTGGAGCAGAGTCTTGAACGTACCATGGACTGCCAAGAAAACAAATAGGAGAGGGTGAAACCGAGTTTCTCCTTGGAGGCTAGGTTATTGAAGCTCTGTCTCACATACTTTGGGCATGTGGCCAAGAAGGACCAAGTCCTTAGAGAAGGACATCACGCTTGGAAGGGTGGAGGGACAGCACAGGAGAGGAAGACCCTGGAGGAGATGGATTGATACAGTAAGTGTGGCAATGGGAGTAGGTGTATTGGGTCAGTGAGGCTGGCTCAGAACAGAGCAGGCTTCAGAGCTACTGTACATAGGATGGCTATGAGTCGCAGCTACTCAACGGCACAACAACAACATAAAAGGTATTTGCAAAGAATAAACCACTGATTGTTCAGAATTCTATCATTCTATCCTCAGCCTCATTTTTGTCAAAAGTCCATGTTTTCTGACTACTGATACTTCTTCTTGGCTCCCAACTTTTGCATTTCAGTTACTCATTATTATTAATGCATCTTGGTTGCATGTTTGATGGATTTCTGACTACAAAAGTTGGTATAAATCATCTCTTTCCTCCTCTTTGACTCCGGTTGTTGGTGCATAAATTTGAACCATAGTGGTATTAACAGGTCTTCCTTGTATGTGTATAGCTATAACCCTGTCACTCACAACACTGTGTTTTGAGATGGATCTAGAAATGACCTTTCTAACTATATAAAGGACCCCAGGACTGTTTTTCACCACATTGCTGTCACAATACGAGATCAATCATACATGTAGCTTTTGCTCTAGTATGTCTTTTCCTAGGGAGGCAATGACAGGGACAGCTAAGTGATGCATGGTCACAACTACCCCCAGATGTAACTAAGGATAGATTACTTTGGGGGCTTGTTTGAAAAATACTTGACCTGAAAGTCTAGTTTAGATCTTTTCTCTGTCGTTTAATATCAGTGGGTGAAAGATAGGTAAAAGCCAGCAATTTTTCTCTAAATATTATTATGACACATAGCCCTAGTGCTCTCAAGGTGATTCTGATGCACAGGAATTTTCCACTGGGCCTCTGAGACTGTTAAATCTTTTGTGGTGGGAATTAACCATTTTTATCCAGAAAAGCAGGCCGTGAATCTGAACCAATGACATTCTGGTTGGTTGTACTACAGAACCTCACCAGAACTCCTTTAACATTTTGACAGAAAGAATGATGTTTGATATGGAAAGGGTTATAAAGCAATTAAGGAAA